AGAAGTTGTAAGTACTAGTGTCTTATGGTCATCAAGTTGACCCTTAGCTTTAAGACAAATCCTGATATTTTTAATTATGTTGGCATTGTTTTCCTCCAAAGGGAGGTTGACACAGGTGAAAAATTCCGAAGTAGTGAATGATTGACTAGCAATTTCAAATAATCTGTACTAAACTGTAGCTAATTGTGTAGTTTTAATCTTCAGTATTTTTTTGAATGTTTGTGGGGGGATATATATAGGATTCCTAACCAGAGGTACTTGATTTTATTAAAAAAAAAAAAAATCTAATTCTGCTATTCAGTTCAACGAACAAACTTGCTGGTGTCAAGGTGTCTGCTAAGGGAAAGCTATATAGGATTTGAGATCAATTACTTGATGTGTGTTTATAGCTGCAAATGTGTTTACGTTGAAAAGACTATGAGCCCTCTGAAATGTCTTGTTACATTAGGATTTACTTCATTACCAAGATTTGTGTGAGTCAAGTCATCTTGTGCTAGCCTTCTCAAAGCAAGTAAGCTGTTTAGAAGATCTGGGGGTTTGACTTTCTGTTGTTTGGAACTAAAGGGGGGTGGACAAAAGATATGGGCACTGAGAAGGCAGCTATGTTTTAGTTGTAGCTGGTATAAAAACAACAGACATGTTCTGACAATGATGGAGATTTTGCAAAAACAAAACCAGAAGAAGAATAAAATTGGTTGAATTTGGTTCAGCCAGCATGCTAAGGCGTTTTAAAAGAAAACAACCAAAAAATTCTACTTTTTCCATCTAAGCTGATCTGGAAATTAAAGAAAATGAAGAGCTGTCAGCATGTAATTGTAATTTTGAATCATAATGCTGAAGACATGTTTAAATGTGTTTTCCTGCCATTTGGTGATGGTAAAATGGCTCTGTTGTGTACAAGGAGACATGACTACTCTATTACCTCATAGCAGACTGTGTGCACAGGTTGTTCTAATCTTAGGGATGTGAGCAAGATGTCTCGCTTCAATTTAGCAACTTCACAATTTCAACAGTATTGTAGTAATATAGCTCATTTAAGTCTCTTACTAACATCAAAATCATGTTGCTGTAGCTTTACAGAGCAGGATGAAGATTATGTAACATTGCAAGTAGAACAACCTTATTGTTAAGGATGAGAAAGCTTACATAGAGTACACTTAGATGACACATTTCTACCAAGGAAAAGCTGTCTTAATCTATGTATTCCTGGTATCTTCCTTCACTTTTAGCTTTTTTCTTTTTTTTGCTAAGCAAACTTGTTAGAAAAGTGTAAGTAGGCTTAGAGAGAATGCAATGGAATGTCTGAACAGTGAGATCCTGTGTGTTTTGTAATACACTATGGTTTTCCTAAATGATTTGATAGGTTTTGAAATAATTCCAGTGGCAGAGGTGCTGGTCTTTATTCGCTTTGTATTTTGCATGTTTATTAGCAGTCTAAAATCTTCTGCTGGATTCTGTTACAGAAGCATTATGTTGACAAGGCTCCCAATCTGTCCTGGTGTTAATACAAAGACTGACTAGAACTGATGATCCCATGAATTGTAATTGTCTCTGGGTTGGCTGTAAACATTCAGCCTTTGTCCTCAGGCCTCAGTACATGCTAGCTGTGATGTCATTGCAGCGTGTCATGTCTTACTGAGCAATTGCATTAGCTTTCCAAGCTGTACAGCATGCGCTAGCCTGTGAAAGCTGCCCAAATCTAGGCATTGTAGCCTCTGCCTCTTGGAATCGGTATTTGCTCTTAGTTGTGGAGAGCAGGAAAATGTTGTGTTACAGCAGTTACGTGTAAGATCCCAAACACTTAATATTGGTAATACATGTGCAGTTAAGCTATATTAAAAAAGAAAAAAATCAGGTGTGTAGCGAAAGGCCCAGAATAATGTGTGGTGGGTTGGCTTTTGGTTTTTTTTTTTAGACACTGAGAATTAATAGTAAAATAACTGCTATTCTAGGGTTCCTCTCATGAAATGTTATCTTTGTGTTTGGGAAGCTTGTGTTCCTTATGTAATGTAACTAAACCAATCTTTCCTTTCTGTAGGATGCAGATAGGGAAGAAAAAGCTGACTTAATTCTCTTGACGGAATTAGCTTGTGTAAAGTGCAGTTATTTGACCTTACAAACAATAAGCTTAGTTTTTCTTTGCACACTATGGTGTTACAAACTCCTGAGCTTGTTTATATTTCAAGATCAGAATGTTTGAAGTTTGTGTGTGAATTCTGTATTTCTAAATACAGTGACTCATATCCATGTGAAACTCAGCTGTTCCAAAAATATGGATTACTTGCAGATCTAGAGAAATTTAGTGCCATTTAGGTTTTTAAGATAAATGGACATATATATTGGTAAGTCTGAAGAATTAAGGAGTGTTGCAACAAACTGGAAGTTTGATTGAACTTGTGTTTTAAGTATCTCTTGTGAAAAGTTGGAAAATGCTATTAAATATCTATATTCCAGAAGGCTAAGATTTGAAATATTTTCTGCTACAGGAGTGAATATGCTTGCACAGTGTTTAAGAAAAGCCCTTCTGATAAATGTAGTTCCCATTCATGTTTCAAAAGCTAAAGCAGACTGAAGGTTTGAGTATTGAATAATTTTTAGCATGTAGTATTTCATACATGCTATTCACTAATAATGCACGCAGTATCAAATCCTAGTATGTCTTCTCACATAGAGGAGGACTTGCTTTCATGGCAAGAAATGGAATGAGTTGGAATGAGAGTGAAGAATGAGGAAGGGCTGTCATTCAGTGTGGAAGGCATCAGCACACTCAAGTAGCCACTGTGATATTTTTAAACATGTAGTGGGACTGCTTGATCATCAGATCTGCACTATTAGTCATGTCCCTGTCTGATGGAAGATTTGCCGCAGGCTTTTTGGAGGAGTCTCTTGTATAGGTCCCCCAGACTGGGATAGATACTGTCTGCAACCAACAAATAGCCTACTGTGCATTTGTTTGTTAAATTCTGGTGGGGAAAGGAGAAGCAGAATTGTCAGAAAGGTAGAATATAGACGGTGAGAGTTGAGCTTTGTTCTGTAAGCAGTCTTCAGGTCCCAGGTATGGTTTAGAAGAGTGGACTGACAGGTGTTCATCTTCCAAAGATCATTGAAAGTAGCAGACTTGCTTAATCAAGCATTTGTTATGTTAGTCCAAGTCTGAAAACCAACCAACCCAAAAAACAAAACCAACAACTCCCCAAGACAAACCCAACATACCCATTAGGAGAGAATGCACATACACAGTCCAGATGTTGGCTGTACCTGGAGAATATTTCTATTCTGACAAGTGAGGATTTTAGGAAGCAGATGGCTCAATGAACCTTGGAAAGGACTTAGCTTGTTCTTTGTATTTTCTGATGGGAATATTGGCGTTATCTAAAGTCTCAGTAGTAGTGTTTACCTCACTGCCTTTTTCTTAATGAGCTGGCCAGAGAAGTTCAAGTCTCAAAACCAGCTGATTCAAACACGTCTTCATGTAGTAGGGCCACAATTAGCAGTCTACCTTCTGATGTTCCACACTGTGCGTAGAGATCCAGTGTGCAGGCTTGTGGCTAGAATATCGTGCTGTTGCAGAAGACTCTACAGGTAGGTTGCATGTCACTAAAAATAAGCGATATGTTATCAGTAGAGGAAAAAAGTGTAGCTCCTAAAAATAATAGTTTGGGAACCTGGTGATGGCTGGGAATTCAGTGTTGTTTCTCCAGCAGTGATAGTGGTTAGTCTTTCAAGAAGGTTTTAAAGTGGTACTGAGGAAAAAATACACTTTTCCAAGGTACAGTATTTGTTAAAGGAAGAAAGTGATTAAACCACATGTGGTTACCTCTCTGTCTTTCTTAGCCTTAAAATCTTTAATTGAATGGGTAGGAAGTGGAGAACACCTTAGATATCTAAAACCAAACAAAAAATCCAAACACATCAATGAGATGAAGGGACACGTACTGTTGAGTTGGAAGCTACATGGTTTCCTCCATCCTCAAGATGTTACCAAACCTGTGTTAGGAAAACATTGGAATTGCTTTTTGAAATATCTAAACAAGAGAGAGTGTACATCTATTTACATTTCTGCAGCAAAGATCTTTCTAGCAACTTTTGAAGGGCTGCATGCTGTGGCAGCTTAGTGACAGAAAAGTCACTTGTCATGGATTGTATGAACAGTTGTGGGCCACGTCTGTTCTCTGTGTTGCATGTGCCCTAACTGTGGCTTGTTCTGGAAAATCGAGTATACTTCTAATCCTGTGAAACCATTTGATCTCACTGTCACTGGGATGTGTTTTGGCACCTGCCTAACAACTGTAGGACTCTACTCATGAAGCTTATTCTGTAAGCTTTCTTGGTAGGGTTGTATGCAGTATACTGTTTGAGAAATCTTTCAACAGTGGAAAGTCCTCTATGAGCCTTGATAGTGCAAAGATAATACTGCAGATTTTTGGCATCATGATCTGCCTGAGGCAGATCTTGTCCTGTGAGGTGGGAGGTTTGAGCTAGGTAGCTTCAGTCTGAGTGCCAGTGCTGGGACAGTTTGAATAATTCTGTTGGAGGAGTAAGTCTGAAAACTCCAGGGTTTGTTGCTTTCACAGCTTTTCTTTGGAAGAATCTGTATTTTTACAAAAAATCGATATCGATACACTTCTATTTGACATGTGCTACCTGTGTTTCCATTTTTTGGTAAGATCACCTGCACTGCATTGCTAAACTTCTCCCTCCTGCTCTGCCTGCCCCCAGGGTTTTAAACTTTTCAGCATTGTTTCTTGTGTATGCCCATCATCTCATCCAGATGAAAATAGGATGAAATGCTAGAAGAACCAGTGCTGGATTTCTTTGAACTTCTCCTGCATTGCCTAAAAATGCTGTGTTAAAAGCTTCTATGTTACCTGACTTAGATTAAGATAAAAGGTGATGTTAATACTGTGTTGTGAAATTTTGGGGGTGAATGAGTTTTAAAAGCTTTATGGGAGTTCTGTTTATTTATATTTTTTGTCCTTTGTGTTGTGTTTTTTTTACAGGAGTCTTACCCCTCTTCCTCACCAATATGGTTTGTAGAATCAGATGACCCGAACCTGACTTCAGTCTTAGAGCGTTTAGAAGATATTAAGAAGAGCAATACTCTGGTGAGCAAGTATTGTGGTTGGTTTTGGGTGTTGAGTTAGCTTTGTCACATTAACAAGTAATTGAATTAGTTTGGCTTTGGGGTTATTTGGGGGATCTGTAAACCTAAGTTTCTCTTCCAAAAACATATGAACTGAAAGTAATCCAAAAGATGTGGGGCAAGGATGAGATGATGACTTAAATGCTTGCTCTTTAAAAGAAGTTAAGTTTCAGCTCCAGTAATTACACAGTAATCTGAAAATAATTAAATGGTGAAATGCACGAGAAATTAAAACTAATGAATGAAACATCTCTTCTAGGGTTTTATTTGCACAGAGATCAGTTATGGAGGCAAAAGCTTTGTGTTCTTGAGAATGTATGTTCTCCAAAACATGGCTAAAATGGTAACTGTTACAAAGAAATCTTGGTTTCAATAAAGACAATGACCTGATTGCTTGTGGTTCATCAGAATGTTCCTTAGAAGTGACAAGTTTGGTGTTGTGACTTTGGATGATTGCTAGTTAAAGAAAATCTAATGGTAGTTTTATATTTCAGAAAACTATCAGGCATTAGATCTTACTTGACTATGCTTTTGATGTAGTGATAGGAGCTTTGTGTGTGTGTATGTGTATATATATATATTTAAAAAAATGAACTTGCCATTCTGTGCAGGAAAGTAAGCGTCCTTGAATATTGCTTGGAGATAAATTTCAGTACAAATGTACTTTGTTCCACGAAGAACAACTTTGCAGCCTACTGACAAATTCAGTGGTTAAAGGCATTGTTTATCCTCTTCAAATTCAGCTTTATCGATATTAAATAGCCTTTATGGATGCTCTTTGTTAACAGGTTATTTTAACTTTTTGGCTGTGTATTTTGTCTGCAGGAATACATGCATGCATGTGATGCATACAAAGCAAATCAGTCTGCAGAATACTGCTTGGATTATGTGCTGGCCGTGGTATTTACCTGGTTTTGGAAAACATGGGAATATTTTTTTCTCATGAAATCACTTACCTGTAATGTTTACTGGGATGATGTTAGTCAAGCATACCAACCTTCAGTAACGATATGAGAATTTCTCTTTCTAAAGATTACATAGGATGCATTTGACTTCTAGCAGAAATAATTGGAAAAATAACAAATGCATGTCTTCATGGGTCTTGCCATAATTAAAAACGAAGGGGCATTGCAGAGGAACATAGTTGGGGGTGGGTTTTTTTTGGGGTGTTATATTGGACATTGGCCCTGATGACAGCAGACAGAAATATCAGCTGTGTATTTTCTTCTAGGGACCTAAACTTCAGACTAAAATACGTTTAGAAGAATATTATAGATCTCTTAGTCTTTGTGAAATCTGCCTAGAAAAACATACAACAGTATAGTAGCAGAAAATGTGGCTAAATCAGTTTTTTTCTTAAATACATCCTTCAGAGGGTTCTCCAGCTTGAGGCTGATGTGGCTAGTAGCTTCAGACTTAAGGTTTTAAACAAGATATTTCCTGTGTTTTAACTCCCTACAGGTTTGCTTGCAGTCGGGTAGAAGGCTTCATTGCAAACACGCACAGGACTTGCTGTGCTGAATTGCATATGCACGTAGACTGCTTATGTACGTTGTAAGAAAACAGCTTCTGATATCAAGATTGTACTTGCCCATGTAAGAGCTGATGTGTTGATGTAATAGACACCTGTGGATGGCCCATTGGTTTCTCAGGAATCCACCCCACATCATGTTATGCCAAGATGAAGACAGATGGGAGGGGTTGAAGAGACAAATACTTACACTAAAAAATCTGGCTTCTTCGTTTTTTTCAAATGGCTTGGCTTTGTGGATTTCGGGTTAGTTTTTTCTCCCTACAGCTTTTCGCAAGCGTCTACCTCCTCCCCTTCCAGGGCACTGGAGCAACTCACACATAAACTTCTTGGAATAGGGTAGGAAGGGATAAGGAGCTATATGTAGAAATCCAGAGACCTCTGTTTTATCATGCTCCCTGTGAAAACTCAGTTCAGTTTAGACTTTCAGAATGTTTCAAGCTGGAACAGTCAGCTTTTGAATGGGAAATTGCATTGGACTCTACCAGGAGCTCACCTGAGCACAGCTAACATGCTAAAAGCACTGCTAGCACTTACATCCTGATATAGCATTCCTTGGTATTACTCTGCCCTTTCTACTTGCTTTGGTACTTCTGACAGGTATGAGCTGTTTGGGAAACTGAAGAACATGCTTCTCAGACATGAAAGCCTGACAGGGAAGCTTTGTCATTTGACGTGGTAAAAGGAGAACTGTTTTACTATGTTAAAATCATGCACACGCTTCCTGGAAAATCTTCTGTGGGTCTGAAACTGTGTTACCTTGGCATCAGCATGGTGCTTTTGGCTATGAAAATTTGTCCAAATGCTAAAAATATTGAAGAATGTGAGATCATGTTAACAACATGATCAGCATAGGCAACATTAGGTTTGGAGGCTTTAGCTGCTTGAGTGTTCATGTCAGACAAGTTCCAGTCAGCAGATGAAGGGGCTACAGAATCCTCTCTGACCCTCAGTGTCTCCTGAATTCCTTTTCAGGTCTTGAAAGTCAGCTAGACATTAGACTGGTAGGTAGCTGAAGCTGACAGCTGCCTTCTGGTGGTTATGCCATGCAAAAAGAAATCCTACCTCAGTGTCATTGTTCTCTTTGGTATTATAGAAGATACAGTCACGAGTCTAAAAATCTCAAACCTTACTACATGGGTTATTAAATATAACTGTACATGATTTGGAGGTTTGCTTTTTAAAGATAATAGTGAAATGAACTTCAGATCAGGTGGGCAGCTTTAATTCTTGCCCTCTCCAAACCTTGAAGGCCTAAACTTGGCATGGAAGATGCCAAAAGCATAGAATTCCTGGTGCAGGTGTGTTTACAACTTGCATAGGCTGCTGTCCGTAAGTGCACTCCTTCTGTATCAAAAATTTAGGTTTAGTCCCACATGATGGTGTTACAGGTAGTTTGCAAGAGCCAAGCTGTGTGGCAGCAACTAATTATGTATTGCGGGTCAGAATCACAAAATACAGGAAGAAGCTTTGCTTTACTATCTGAAAATGCCCAAGGCTGCAGAGTGTGCATGAGGCTGGTTACTGTCACGGGCTGCCAGATAGCTAAGTAGTGCTCATGATCCAAGTTACACTTATTTCTTCCCTCTCTTTCCTCTTGTGTCCTCCTTCAGCAGTTTCCTTCAGTGGTAGGCTTCAATTTATTATTTTTATTTGGTTATACTGTGTGTGTATATAGATACATGTCGAAGAATACGTGCATACTTACACTGTACTTAAATCCATGTTTCTTGGTAATCCAAAAACAAGGTGCTTCATAGTGAACCCAGCAGAATATTAATATCATTAAAGGTATCCTAAAATTAGTGCTTTCATACTGCATTAGAAAGATCTCATCATGCATATAAAAGCCTTCTAATGTAGGATAAGTTTCAGAAAAATGGTTCTAAACTCTTTTCAGACTTGTAAGATGTTAACACAGGAAATGAAAAATTCTAAGAGGTGTTTTTGTGTTCTAAAACAGCATTGTGGTGTCCATAAGAATGACCAACTTCTCAGAACTTCTGAAACATTAAAACTTATGACAATTCTATATAGTTGGTTGTTGTTTTTTATGTTAATTATAATAAATATAATTAATTTATAAATTTGTAATTGTATTTGGTCACTTGAGCTTTTACCTTCTGCCAGCCATTTACATTGCTCCTTCAATTCCCTGAGGATTATGCGTCACTGTTGCTGTTTAGTTTCTGCTTTAGGCAGTTTGTATTCCAGGGAAACTTACTGGTATACTGATAGCACACTTTGCTTCAGTAGCAGCAAAGCCTGTGTGTTAAGCTTGTGTAAACTGCTGCCAAGCAAAAAGGGGTCCCTGCTCTTAGCTGCATGTTTCTGCCTCCCCCTCTATGGTGAAATTGGCGCTTATGTGCTGAAGCGCACCAGGAATTAATGTGGCTCAAAGCTTGTATGGTTGTGTGATCTCTGGTGCCAGTGCAAACGGGAAGGGGAGAATGTGCTGCTGGATGGAAGGAGACACCTATTCAGACCCAGCCACTGTGTAACTTGCTCCGGGTTGTGCCAGTAGTTTGTTGTTTTTGCGAGTGCTTGTGTACCTTGCAGTGGTGCTGTGTTCTGAAGGGGGAGAAGCTTACAGTTTTAGGTCCTGACTGCAAAGATTCCTTCTGACTTTACATTCAGCTGACAGGACTTCTCATGCAGAGGATACGGCCTGGAGGAGGCAGGGCTGGAAGCAGTTCTTAACTCTTCCCACCCCTTACTGTCTATTACTGTAGAAACGCATCTAATGTGGTATTTATCTGCTTCTCCAGGCTTTGGACCAGTCATATACCAGTGGTGGTATTCTTCCCCACCATTTAGATTTTTTTGTGTGCTTCACAATGGATGCAAACAAATTGAGAGCTTGTCTAGCTTCACATAGCTACATGAGAAAAATTACAATATCTGAAATTTTAAAGCTTGTGCACCAGCTCTGCATGAGGCGGTGTTGTTTGTGTAGAGAAAGATGTTCTTAACAAAATGTGTAGCAGTGCAACTTTAGGCATCTTACACATACTGAGAATAATAGACAGAACCACAGGTCTCAATCAAGTAACTTTTTAATTGATCAACCGGCTTTCTTGAAGGAACAAACAGAAATGTGGTTGTTACAGAAAGCTGCTGGCAACGTAAGCTATCACATCTCATGTATGTACTCACAAGAGGTGTGTCGTTGGAACAGCAGTTCTTGGTGTCATCTGGTGGTTGGTGTGGGTGGGTTTATTGATTGAGTATGACTGTCATGAATGATGCAGAAACAGGAAACATGGTGTGATAGGAGAGAAGGTCATAATTCTTCTATTGCAGGCTGGTATGTCGTTCATGGCCTCTGAATAAATAACAGTCCTGTGGAACAGGAACATTCAATTCTGCTGGAGAAGGGAAAAGCACTGAAGCTTTCAGTTAGCATAAGAGTGATACTTGCTTATCACTGCAGGTGATTTGGGCTTAGAAATGAGGTCTTAACCCTGGAGAGACTGAGTTTTTGCTTGCAGTAGGGTAAGGTAAGCGTGTTTATTCTGGCCAATAGAAAGGCTTTAGATATGTGGAGTATTTTGGAGTGACTGGATTTTTCTTAGATATCATAATTTACTATGTATTAAGAAATGGAGTATACAAACACCGAATGGTGTTGTACAGGTATCATTATTTTGCCATAATACAATCTATGCTGTACTTCGAGTGACGACACAGTGCCTGGGTCTCCTTCCCTTATGGGGCCATCCTTAAGGGGGAGTGGAGGTTGTCACTCCAAGCGTAACTACTAGTAGTGCTGAAGGATACATGTACAGAAATGGTGTCTTGTACACTGCCTTCTGCAAGTGGCAAGACACTCCTGTTGGAATCTGGAAGAAAAGGCCATAAATAGATGTCATTTTTGCAAGCTTCATCTAGTGTATTATTCTGTAAATAATGAAGTGTTGACCATTTTACAAACATGTTCTGCAGTAGTTTCTTGGTTTTTCTGATATGGCTATGCAAAGACCTTGTAAAGATCGGAAATGCTGTAGTACAGTCTTATGTGGTCTTGGCCTTAATTAGGAATCTGAGGCTGTCTAGAGGAAACTAACAACCATGGAACTCCACTTAAGTAGCATGGTGATCAAGACACAATCTTAACGTTTCTCTGTATCTGCAGAATTAGATTTATTTTTATTGATGACATTTCAGTGGATCGAAGGTGTTCCATATTTTTCAGTTAACAGAACACAGGCAATGTAATGCTGAAAGCTAGAAACAGAAATCAGTGATAGTAACAGATAGTGCTTCAACCTGATACCAGGTGGCAAGAAGACTACTTGGGCTTGAGCTCAGAGGTTGGCTAATTTCTATGCCTTATGCAGTGTTTGTCTCCCTTCTGGTGACTCACTAGTGTGCCCTAGAAAAGGATTCGGGGTGTGGAAAATCAAAGAACCAAGGAGGAACAGTTTGAAGACATGGTTCTTTAACCTAGGAAAATAGAATGGATCTTGTCTCATGGAATATGACCGTTTGATTATTCACTAGTTTTTTTGTGGCTGAGACACCTGTGCCTGGAATGGATGGTGCTGCCAGAGCAGCTCATCCTTTTGCTCTTCACTTGACATGAGGAGATGAATGGGAGCCATCTTTAACTTGCCATGTCATTGGTTTCCCATTGTGGGGACTTTATTACAGTGACTACAGAGGAAAAGTGGGGTCTTTAAACTTTATTCCAGTTCGTGCAGATTTAAATGCTTAATACTGACTTGAAAGTTCAGTGAAGGAAATTCAAAATGTATAGTTCTCTGCTTTGGTTTAAATAGATGTTTCCATATTTTCTTTTTATAGCTTCTTCAACAGCTGAAGCGATTAATATGTGACCTCTGCAGATTATATAATCTTCCTCAGCATCCAGATGTTGAAATGTTAGATCAGCCATTACCAGCTGGACAGGTAAATTAAAAAGCTGTGGACACCTCCTTATAGTAATGAAGGAGTTGGTTTTTCAACATCAGGAAATGAGATGGTGGGAATGGTTAAACCAGAACTGAGATATGAAGCACTGTAGCTTTATGGTGCCCTCAATCTGAATTTTGCTTGCAGAATACATTTAATAACTGTGATAATATTAAACAAATTCCTTTGGAGTTCTGTTTATTTGAAAAGTGTGTATATGATTTCGGTGTTGCCAGTTTAACTGCCTCCTAAACACTGTTCAGGGCAATTGCTCTGCATTTCTAGTGCTTCCCAAATTGACTTTTTCCCAAAACGTACGTGTGATTAAACTCTGTTTACATTTTCTTGAAGAGTAGATGTTTTACAGTGTGCACTTGGATGAACTACTATTGATGTTTCCCTCCTTCTTCAATCCCTGGAGAGACATGAGATATCAAGACCATATGCTACCTTGAGTAGGGGGTATCTGAGATGCCTTGTTTACTTATTGTGCAGTTGACAGATTAAGAGTTGTGAAGGATTGTGAAATGTTCTGGTTAACTAAAATGTTCTGTATTTTGCTGAAAGCAGAACTGGTAACTGCCAATAGCTGTTCTTTTTTTTGGTATTTTTAATAAGATTGATAATCTGCTTTTGCTTATACATGTTAAGATGACATGATTTCTAAAAACTCCTGTAGCGTAACAGATGGTTCTCCTGTGGTGACAGTACTATAGTAATGACAAATAACTTGCTTAACTTTGGTCATGTGCCAAATTGTAATCCTATGTCTTTTCTCTGAGCCACCCACAAAGCAATGCAACTATAAGGAAATAGGCCTGTAATATTAGAACCATAGAATCATTTAGGTTGGAAAAGACCTTTAAGATCATCAAGTCCAACCATTAACACTGCTGATAATGCCACTAAACCATGTCCTACAGCACCTCATCCACATGTCTCCTAAATACCTTCAGGGATGCTGACTCAACCACCTGCCTGGGCAGCCTGTTCTAATGCATGATAACCCTTCCAGTGCAGAAATTCTATCTAATATCCAATCTAAACCTTCTCTGGGAAAACTTGAGGCCATTTCCTCTTCTCCTGTCACTTGAGAGAAGGGACCAACAGCCACCACTCTGCAACCTCCTTTCAGGCAGTTGTAGAGAGCACTAAATTCTCCCCTGAACGTCCTCTTCTTCAGGCTGAACACCCCGAGCTCCCTCCGCCACTCCTCACAGGACTTGTGCTCCAGACCCTTCCCCAGTTCCATTCCCTTTTCTGGACACGCTCTAGCACCTCAATGTCTTTCTTGAAGTGAGGAGCCCAAAACTGAACACAGTTTTCAAGGTGCAGCCTCATCAGTGCCCAGTACAGGGGGGCGATCACAGCCCTAGTCCTGCTGGCCACAGCTTTCCTGATGCAGGCCAGGATGCCATTGGCCTTCTCGGCCACCTGAGCACACCAACAGCTCATGTTCATTAGGAAGTAGCTTCATCGAAGAGTCTTGCTTATGCTCTGCAACTCAAAAGCAAACTCATGGAAGGTTTCTTAGCCAGAAATGTCAGATAACTTTCAAGTTAAATAAGAGTGACCTTAGTAAGTCAGACCAAAGATCCATCTAGTCCGCTGCTTTGTCTACAGCAGTGGCATTCCTTCCTTGCCAGAGGAAGAGTAAGCAGAGCCCAGGCATATCAGAATGCTCCTGAGTATTTCTGCAGTTCAAACTTTGAGCTTGAAGTGATATTCTGAAATGGAAGGCTATGAGAAATGAAGTAATTGTGTTTTCTGGTATGTTATCACATAATCTAAAAACAATGGCTAAATGATGATAGTAGTTGTTGCATAGAAGTTCTAGGTAGTGAAACAAAAATCCATTGAAATTTAGAGGTCCAAAGTTTGTTAGGTTTTTTAGAGGTCTAGCATGTATATGGATCCTAGTCAGAGCCATGATCTGATTCCATGGTTAAGATATCTTGAGTTATAACCTGCTTGACTTGCTGTGTTAGTCAGCCTCAGAATAGGGTATCCTTATCTGAATCTTAAGTTTCCAATTATAACTTAATGCAAAATTAATTGTGACATTCTGTTTTTTTACTTCATGCAAAAATCTCTTCACTATTGTACCAGGGAAGTGTCTTTGTGTATCTTCCACATTAAACTTGAGTCCTTTGCAGACCTTGATGTGTGTAACTTTCATATATACTGCTTTCTGTTTGATAGTAGACTTCCAGTTTTTGAAAGAAAGGAACATACGAACAACTTACACAGAAACCTCATTGTTGTATTGCAGAACGGAACAACAGAAGAAGTTACATCAGAGGAGGAGGAGGAAGAAGATATGGGTGAAGTATGTGTGTATATGAGATTGTTATCCTAATCTGGTAGAATTCTGGCATTTTGCTCTGCAGTGACTGGCTTATTATTAAGCCAAACTGTAAAATGTAATCTCCCTAGAGTTCAACAGAAAAGATAATTTAAAATTTGGATGTTTACCTTAATGTCAGCTTTCACTTCAACCATAAAACTGGTGAAATTTTCTTCTTAAACCTAGATCTCAGCTGTGAGGTACTTGGATACAGAGAATTGGACATCTGTGCTTTAGTCAAACAGTACATAACATTGTGTGCCAAATCAGTAAGTTTGCATTGTTAACTCCTATTTCAAGCAGCATATGAACAGGCTCTGATACAGTTGAAAAGTGCCTCCCAAATTCAAGCAGACTGGCTAAAAGTAAATCAGTTTGCTGATTTATTGAACAGGTGAGGTAGTTTATAACTATAATACATTGAAGGAAAGGGAAGGACATACGAAACAGACATGTGAAACTTTAAGGGGTTTATGTCACTGTCTGGCAATATGGTGTTCCTTTTAATGATTTTTTGTTTGTTTGTTTTTACTGTGTGAGAACCACCCTTTTTCAATTACTTCTACAACATCGTAGAATAGCTTCAAGATGCTTGCTTTTTGAACCACTATTAATTACCTTTTTATAGAGCTGTTCTGACTACTTCATATTTAGGTTTTTAATGAAAGTGTGTAGTAAGAATGAACATCTTTGAGTAGAATCTCTTCCTTTAGAAAAGATAAAAATGTTACTCATATTTTGGAGTTCATTTGAAGCAGCCTCTCACATTATATGTAGCCTGATCCAGACCACATTTGTTGGAGCCAGAGTTTCTGTAACAGTGGTATGTATGCTCTGCTGTCCTGTTGCCACAAGGTTCTTTTGCTTTCAGACTTGTAAGTAGATGTTTGCACTCTGTGCAGGTTACTTTAGACAGAAAAACTGTCATGTCTGTCATTATTTATGAGCTAACAGGTGTTGTTTAGTGTGGCACTGTTACCTTTTAACTTGTAATCTAGTCCAATTTCTAAGTTGAAAAGCAGCTTAGGGTTCCTAGGGCTACATCATTATTTTGGGAAGCAAGAGCATTTTAAAGAATACTCATTCTGAAGTGTGTTACAGTTGGAGGAAGCAGTGTCAAAGGCAATCTTAGTCAATAAGACATCCTTGAATTGGCATTTATGGCCAGGTTTTCTTGCCATGCAAACAGATGGTGCATGAGGAGTAGCCACAGCTGTGGTGGAGCACAGCATGTTGGAGCGTATCTGATAGTTGTGTACTCATTGCTTGCTGGTGTGGCTGCTGTAGTGCTCCCTTTTTTTTCTTAAGGTATTTGCATCCTTCTCCTCTCCACAAATAGCACTTGAATCACCTCACAGGCAGTTGTCTGAAGTTCAGAGTGCTCCTCTGCAACAGGATAACCCTGTCTCAGAATAGAGTGGAAGATTTTTTTGTGTCAGAACTGAAATGTTTGCTTGTGTGATCATGATACTTGACCACATAATTTTGTCTCATAGTCTAATGCTGCATTTCATCTTCAGCTGAAATGTTCACCTTGAATAAAGTACATGTTGCTTTCTAACATTTAACTTTCTTGAAAGTACATGTTGCTTTCTAACATTTTTTCTAACAAGGATTGCTGTAGCCCTGCCAGGTATGTTAATCACTGTTTGCCAGAAGTGTCATATAGCTAGGATTGTAGTTGTAAAAAGTCTGCTTTTAAAGACATCTTGGAGACACTCTGACTTTGAGCACTTTTGGCTTCTCAAGCCCAGTTCAGAATGCCTTGACTTCCTGTTTTCTATCTACTTTAATGGTCTAATTCACTACAATCTTAACTTCTTGCAGAGGTTTTATTGTGCTTGTTTCTGTAACCGGAAACATGTGAATTTGGGTCTTGCTTGGACTGTGAAGGCTCCTTACATTTCTGGTGAATGCTGTTGGCTGAAGAGTGAAGTCAGAGCAAATAGAAATGGAATCCAACAATCACTAATACAGTGCTGTGCAGTATGTGACTGTATCCCTGAATGCCCTTGGAGAGGGTTTCATTGAACAAAGAGCATAGATAAGTTATTTACAGTCAATTTCCCTCTATTCTGTAGGACATTGAAGATCTGGATCACTATGATATGAAGGAGGAGGAACCACTTGATGGGAAGAAATCTGAGGATGAAGGCATTGAAAAAGAGAACCTTGCGATCTTAGAAAAAATCAGGAAAAATCAAAGGCAAGATCACTTAAATGTGAGTTAATGATTTAAGTTTTTTCTTTGCAATACTTCAGGCTTTAAAACAGAAACGGTTTTCAGCAAACAAAGCTTACTGCTATGCACCTAGACATAAATTAACCTGTAGCTCCAGTATATGTAGGACAAATGTCTCAAGTTATGGGACCTAAATAGCTCTTTTCAGAGAAGTTTGAGTAGGCCAGCTAAAATTCCAAGGACGTTTACTAAATGGACTCGTATTTTATCAAAATTGGCAACACAAGAAGTTGTTAGTCCACATCCCACAGAGGTGTAAAAACTACTTCAAAGCACTCTAATTAAGCCTGGGAGAATGCTATCATGATTTCCTTTGGCAAACTAGGCTGGGGTGTTGGCATTTTGGATGCAGAAGCATTTGTTTCAGATTTTCACTAGAGTCAACCCTTACATGTAGATCTAGGTTTTACACTTGTTAATGATAGTCTCCTAATTTTCAGAGGTATCTGTTTGGTTGTCCCTCTGTCTCTTGCTTGATGCCTTTGTTACAAACAGGATCAGTAGAAAGCATCTAGGCTGTAAGCATGACTTCCGTTGCTGAGCCCTTATTAATACAACAAAGCCATATATAAAACTGCATTAAAAGTCATGGGTGACTTACATACTCAGTAAACCCAGGAATTTAGACTTTAAATCCATTTTATGCATGAGTGTGTTTTTCAGTAATATATGTGCTGCTTGTAAATTACTGAAGGGTGTTGGTTTTTTTTTTCTTACCATACATAAAGCAAGAGGCCTTTAGCAGCTCTTCAGCTTTAGTATCACACTTTTCTGAGTGATCCTGCTAGCGGGCAGTAGTAAAAAAAACCCTCTTTGTTCTCCAGAGGCTTAGAAATGTTTTGGCACAAGTGCCAAGTTCCAGAGAAGCATCTGCTTCTCTAAGGTGCGTGTCAGAGGGAATGATGATGTCATACAAACTTAATTTTATTTATTTAGCCTTTGGCTTCCAAAGAAATAAAACCTTTCGTTTCACAGAGGCTTAGAATGTGTAATGTATTAATTTAATGACTTTTGTTTATGACCAATTTCAGCTAAAGGTAAGGGTTCTAACATTTTCACAAGTCTCCTGTACAGAAAGAAGGTGCTTAAGTTGGTGCCCTCTACTGTGAATTCCTAAGTTTGTATATGCTGTCTGGCAAGTCAGCAGACATGTAGATCATGTCCAGACACAAGATGTGCTATTTCTCCTTAAGCTAATAGTTGAGGATGTGAGTTGAGGATCTGTAGTTAGGTACAGAGGAAGGACCTGTAAGTGTTTAGGGAAGGAATGATATTTAGGATTGGTATGTGGGGAACACCAGAATTTTTGCCCAAGGAACCTGCTTTGTTCTATTTCTTAAACTTGACGATTTTTCTGGTAATATTTTCTAAAAAACCTAAATTGCACTTAAAAATTATATTAGCTTCAGGAGAACTGCTGTTGTAAACTTATTTTGATTTGTAGTGAGAACTATATGCACTCCAAGTGTTTGGGTGCTATCCAAGCCAATCCACTTTTACTGTTGGATGCATTCCTGATAGATCTATTTATCCTAAAAATTTAGGGAAAAGGCTTCTTTAGTTAGCAGAATCTTGACTATCTTCTGTCATAAACAAAGTAACGAAGTTACTAGTTAGTAACTAGGTTACCTAAATAACTTCAATTTTGAAGAAAAAGTTCCTCCTCATAGTTACTGACACTTGAACATGGAAAAGAGATTCAGTTTGTAGTCATCTCTTTTGCAAAGGAAATAAAATAGAAATGCTTCTATCAGAGTTCTTCAACTACAAGTTTTGGGTTTCTGTCCCAGTGCTGTTCTAATGACTTGAGTGCAAACCTGTCGAAAAATACCTTAGACACGTGTTCTGCTGAAATAGGCAGCATGAGATAACTGGCTAGAGGAGATTGCCCTTTGATTTGTGTATCAATTCAGTAGTTAGCTATCAGGTTGTCTGAAGGAGAGTGTACAGTAATGGTCAAACCTTAAAAAAAACTCCAAACAAAACCAAACCCCAACCAACCAAACAAAAAACCCTGAAACCTAATCAGCACATCAGTATTTAAAAGCAGGTAAATATAAGGGGCCAAGCTGCTTGTGCTGAAAAGTCAAGTCTGTTTTAAAACCTGACTAACCATAAACACAACAGTCATTTAAGGCTTTTGTTTAAATATAAATGTTTGAGCAGTTGCTTATTGAGCCTGTACATATTTCTGTATTTATACCTGAGACCTAATTAATGGTAAAGACTCCTTACTCATTAAATAAAATCCTCTTGCAGTCTGAAAGACATGGGCTGGTTTATTGTCATCTAAAAATTTGGTAGGACTAAAAATTTTTTTGCAATGTCAACTTGTTCCTTGATGTGGAACGTCTCTTTAAAACTGCAGGTTTTCTTTTGCTATCTCTTCTTTCCCATTTGGCCAATATAGCCTTTCCTTTTGCTTTTTCTTCCCACATTTAGTGGAGCTGAAATGAACACTACTGTGTTTTTGTTTGACAACAGCAGATTCAACTTACATAATAGCTGTTTCTCATGCCAAGACACTCTTGTTGATGTTGGTGCATAAACAAGGTCAGCTGAGTACAGGGAACAGGGTATTCAACTGCTGCTGAGGAACCGTGGTATTTTTGTGGGTCACCAGAAATAGCTGCACTGCTTAAATAAATTCTCAAAGGACTTGTGAGGGTTTATTCTTAAGTGCTTGAGAATTTACAACTATAGCTGCACTACTGACCCAGGAAGGAGCTCACCTAGTAGCACTTAAATGCCCTTTTATGCTGCCAAAACCTGGAACTTGGAACATGTTAAACCTGCTCTGAGACAGCATAAGTTGCAGTGTCGTAACATAAAGCAAAATTTAAATCTGTACAGCCCTTCACAGTGGGTTTTCTGAAAGGACAGCATGAGTTTCACAAACGTAAATGTAGTGACTAAACATAGTCTGTTTTTCACACAGCTGTTTGGTATACTTTGTTTCCTTAGCAGAGGAAAGTAAAACAAAGCTGTTCTACTTACATGCTGCTTGTTGGAAGAGGGAACGCAAAGCCTAATGTAGGACTTTGAGTAATGCCTAATGCAGCCAGAAGACTTCTCAGTTTCTTTGTGTTCAGTGGCCCAAATCCATGGGTCATCCTCCCTCCCCTTGGCTGAAATGCAGGTCGAGTATACAGATCAGGCCAAAGGTGTCTCCGTAGGGAAGAAGTGCATGCAGTCCTATGTTTGCATACTCCTGATGGGTAAAAGACATTTTTGTGCTGCTCAAGGCTTTTGTTATAGGAGATTTTTAGGGTTTTGTGTGTTTTACACAAGTTAAGAGGATGTATCTACTTACTCTATAAACTAGTTTTCTTCCTTGCCAGTATGCTTAATCCTATTCGTCTTGCTGGCATCAGAAAATAAACTTAAATTTGGCTTGCAGTACAGTGTGTAACTTGGAGCAAAAATTAATCCTCCTCTTAACCTTGTAATAACTGTAAAGAATCACTTGCTTACTGGGAATAAAAAAGGTCTTTGAACTGGAATCATTAACTTCAAATATTTAACAACTTGTTGCTGCTTGCTTTTCAGACATCTCTCCCCACATAGTCATTTTCAAGATTAATGCTTTTCTTATTCAATAATGCTATTAGCTTGCTGAGGAGTTTATGCACTTTCCCCAGAAGTCTCAAATGTTTCCACTTTCATCTTCAGATTTTATGAAGTCTAAGTTGTCATTTCCATGTTCAGTCTAATCCTTGAAGTAAGTATGAATCTACTTCCAGGAACGAATGTACTTCTGCACGAATACTGAGAAAGTTTTGCTCTTTTTTGGTCACTTTAATTTTTTATTTTATTATCTTGGAGGAGGTTCCCTTCTGTGTTATGTTTTAGAAGGGATTTTTTTGTCTTGGGGCTGAATTATATATGAAATGCGTTGAGTGAGGTGAAGTACCGTAACATTTCCATGTGTGACAGTATTTTTCTGATCAAACAGAAAAAGGAAAACCTGCTTTTTGGGTTTAAAATTGCAGTGAACTACCCCTCTTACCTCATAGAACCCATTTAAGGAGCAGGCTCTGGTTGTGTTTTGAGGGGTGGAAGGGGAGAGGAAAATCTCCAAAGGAGAGAAAAGCCAGGGCTGTAGAACCTCACATCTCTGGAGACTTAGGGCAGCAGATGGCTGGGGCAGTGGCATGTGCTATGCTTATTTCTGCTGATTACCTCCTGTAGCAGGGATTTCTCCCAACTTACCTGCTCATTGTTCTGGAGAACCACAAGTGTGTTTGTACAGGAGAGGATGAGACTTCTTGTAACTATTTGATTACTTAATAGGAAAACAGTCACTTGGGGCTTGTCTGGCAGCTCTTTTAACTTCTTCAGTTTACAGATCAATGGCCATGCCTTTCTGCTCTTGGCATCAACCCCATGTGACAGATAGCTATAAGATCCCATGATTGACAAGTTACTTCTAAGGCAGTTGCAACTAAGTCTTGATCTCACAACTGGATAAATGGGAGCTTTATCTCTCTTGGAGCAGTTAGTCCCACTTTTCCAGAAGGACACAGATATTTATATCTGGATTCAGTCTTGAAAATTTTAACTTGCTTATAATGGGTTATTGAAAGTTCAGGTGTTTAATTTTAGTACCATTATAGTCAAAACTGAACTCACTGTAGTACTATATTAGGCTGTGGTGTGATGCAAGTAGTACTGTCTTCTAAACTGCACTTCAACAGTGGTTATAAAAAACAAAAGTGACAGCAGAATTAAGACTTAGTGTTTCAAAGCAGTGGTGTTTGGCATTAAAGTTACCATCAGATCTAGCAGTAAATCTCTGCAGGCTTCCTCTTCAACTTCTTCCGAGGGTAGTTCAGAGCACGTAAAGTAAGCTCCTGTGCTAAACTACTTAACTTAAGCTTGCTAGCCTCTTTCTCTTGATCACAGATCACTAGTTTGCAGTCTACTGATTGGTTAGAGTAGCAAGTCTAACTGTAATACTGCTAAATAAGGAGTGGGCAACGCAACTAGAAACTCCTAGGAACAAGGGTGAAAAGCACTGTCATAGACAAAATCTACTGAGGATAGCTTACGCACACGAAAATCAACCCTGGTTTTTGTTTAAATACGATTTCTGTTTATCAGCAGTTACAATGGCACTCAGGAGTATGTGTGTTAAGTTTTGGTTTTAAATTACTACAGTACAGAAGATACTTAAATTTTCATATGCCAAGATGAGCTTCCAACATTATGTATAGAAGTTCAGTAGCTTAATTTGATGGAAATAAAGATGCAATGAGGAAACTAGTTTTCCACAGGATGTCTTTGAGAATCTAAGTTGTTTTTAAATTGCCTGCATTTAGAGGTTGATGTTCTATGAAAAATGTAAGAAAATGCTTGCTTTCAGTAAGCAACACCGCAGATGTGGCAAGGGTATTGCACAGATCTGCACGGAAGACAGCTGAAATTTTGACACTTGTTTATGAAATGTCTTTCCTTCAAACTCAACACATCAAGTCTCAACATTAACACTCACAGTACAGGTCTGAAAAAGCACAGCAATTCCATAGAGAACTGTGGTTAACACTGTTGTGTTAACTTGTTAAGTGTAATGCTTCCTTTTTCAGATAATCTATAAATAGTAGTAAGCTGCAAATAATGTACATAATCAACCAAGTTTTTCCATAAAACTTAATTTGCTTGCTGTTGAAGGAAGAGGAAGCCCTTCTTTTTCTGATACTGCACAATAGACAGGGGCCTGAGTAAACTGAGAAATTACTCGTCTGCAGCCCTGTCTTTATGTACCTTTTGTTTAATCAAATTAAAGGAGTTGCCTTTCACTTGTGTATTTAAATACAAAGTTTGTTCTTCATACTGGTCCGTTAAGTAAAACTAGTGGAATCTGTGATCTGCATAATTAAATCCAGTGGAATATGAAAATCAATAGCCTAAAAGAATATTCTACAGATTATATTGTGAAACTAAGCATATGATATGATGCTACTGAACAGAGAAGATAAAGGAGTATGTGGAGGCTTTACCATCAAGTAACTAATACTGATACTTAATCCTTACTAAGCAATAATTTGATCCTACAATTAAGACTTTGTAGAATATATCATATCACTGTTGAGTTCAGGTATTAGACAATGGTCATAGCTGCTTCAGATTCTTCCAGTAATACTTCTGACACTGCTGTCCAGGAAGGATCTCTTTGTAGCGTTTCATAGTGCCTGAAAGGAAGTTGAAGAAACAAATGTCTTAAGATGTTTAGATGGAGTAGAAAAGCAGATCTATAAACTAATCTCTACTTCATAGAGGGAGGCTGTGCTTAACTTTGCTCTAGGGGCTTTTTTTGTGTTTGGTGGTGGGGTTTTTATTTCCTTTTCTTTGTTGGTTTTCTTTTGTTCTTCCCCTCCTGAAAGAATGCTTATGAGCCACACATATTAGCCTCTGTTGTAGTGGGGGTGACTGAAGGCCAAGCAGCTTCAGCAAACTGCATGGGCCTCATGAAATAATCTACCTTTGGGAAACTGATGGCTGGTGACAGCCCAAGTTTCACAGGGTCGGGGTTTGGGTTGATAGCTACCTTAACTCATTTGGAGTCTTCATTCCTTTTCCATATTTTAAATCTTGTAACACTAATTTTTATCTCTCCATTTTCCAAAAACCTTGAATGTAAAATGGCATTTTGGGAAGAGTATATAAGCAGGGTAATCACGTAACATTATAAGGTTTTCTGTAAGGCTTAGGTACAGTACAGCTTTCAACACCGGTAAAAAAAGATCACCATTTTTTCTGCTAACTTTGGCATTGAATTGGAGAGGGTAATCTAGGTCCTTTTAGTGATCGTGTTGTTCTAAATAAGCACTTTATGAAGGATGGAAAAAGTTCTATCCTCACTTTAAAGCTCACAAAAATGAGGCTTAAGTTAATACCAAGGTTGCAGAACTGTCAGCACTGGGGATATGTGCAGAATATGTCCAGTGCAGCAGTTGTTGATATAAGTAGACATCAGTTACTTGAAATGGTGTGTTCATGAGTTTGTCAATAACCAGTGGTTTTTAGAGCCAGTCCTTTTATATGCCTGTCACTTAAAGGTCTCTTCTTTTAGCACTTTATCTCATGTTGAAATATCAGCCTCAGAAGTTGTATGTTAAATTTTCTGTCACTTTGAGATGCTGAGTGACACAGAACTGAGCTCTAAAAGGACAGAAGATGTTTCCGCCCTGGTTGCGTAAACCACAAGAACTATGACGAATTACAACAAAAAATTTGGTATTCTAAGGTTTACTTACCTTAGTCTTCCTCTATGTAGGTGTTGGGTGTGGGTTTGTGATTTGGTTTTTTTCTTTTTTTCCTCCCCTTCTCTCTTCCACTCTATTGCAAATAATGTTGCTTTTGTTCTGCATTTTTCTAAATATATTGGCTGGTCTTAATTCATCCAGAAGCTGGTGTTCTATAGTGGATACTTCCTAACTCCTGTGTCTTTTCATATCCAAATGAAAATATGCTTCTGAGAAAACAGCAAAACCTTATGAGCAGCAGCTTTTTCTTAGTATTAGTCTCACTCTTCTTTCCAGTAGAGTAAGAGGTGCATAAGAGCAAAAGGTAAGAGGAAATATTTCCCTATCAGAAATGTACTCTGGATCCACCTTGGAAATCAAAATGCCCAAGAGATTAAAATCCCTTTCAGAAAGATGTCTTTTGTACCTTGATTAAAAGATTTATCACCTATACCATGTTGGTATTGTTGATATATATTAATGTGCTGCTTTAAAGGGAGTGTCTTGTTTCTTTTGGGTAGTCTTTGCTCACTAGAATATGTAACTTTTCAAAAACCTAATCCTTATACAGAAATTAATATATTCTTAATACCTTCTAGTTAGTATAACTTTGTAATGGAAATAAGACCTTTTGATTTAAATAGTACTTTTCACTTATTTGGAGTCTTTTTTGTTTGTTTCAGGGTGCAGTCTCTGGGTCAGTTCAGGCTTCAGATCGACTTATGAAAGAACTCAGGGATATATATAGATCACAGAGTTATAAAACAGGTAAAATGCTTCAGATTTCCCTTTTTAAAATACACTTTAAAAGAATTCTTTTGATAAATATTTCCTGCTATATCCTTCTGTGTGTTTTTGTCATGTATATGTACATATGTGTCTATGTGTGCACATATATATAAAAAAACATAGATGCATACATTATGGGTAATGTCATTATATAGTGTATTTGAGGAGAAAAAGGAAGTCGGGATATGTGTCCTCTAAAAAGTTCTTCCTTTCTGTTATGCAAAGCTTGATATGTGAATTACACAATTGGTGTAGCTATGAGAATTCTCTTGGGGCGGGTGACTACAAAGAACAACTCAAGATTACTCGTGGGATTTCTTGAGTGTTCAGAACTACCTGAAATTCAGCTCTCCAAGTATACAGGGCCAAAGGTTTGACCACTACCAGCAGGTAGTACTGCTCACAAGAACACGCGTGCTGTAGAGGGAGTTGTGTTCAACAGCAGAAGGCTTCGTTGTTATACAGGATTTAACCTTAATTACACTGCTGTTACTTTTACTATTTTGTGATGGTGTTAATCTGATCCTGGGCTCTGTGCAGTCCTTGGAATAAGGATACAAATGACAATAGAAAACAAGCTTGTCTTTTAAATCTGTTTGAATAACAAACCCTGATTAGCTGTGGGTAAGTAGGTGGCTGGCTGTTCTATTTGTTCATTATAAGGGCTGTATCTAAATTAGCTCAGCAAAGGAATCTGTATATATTGAATTGTCTGAATGTTACTATACAAGAAGTAAAGTTACCTATGTTTCAGGCAAGTTGTATTCCTGTAGGCCAGGTGAGTACACAACGCCATCACTGCAGCCAGGTATGAGGACTTGCTGCAGGCCAGGATGGGAACAGGAGGAATGCCCGATTAGAAAGTCAATCTAAACTTTAATCCTCTGTCTTATACTTTTCTGAACTTCTCCCCTAGTTTGTTTCTAGTTGGCTTACATCTCACTTGGCTATAGCATTTTAAATCATGTGTAAAAAGGACAGAGTTGGCGAGACAATAGGTTCCTGTTTTGATTTGCCGTATTTACCTTTTAGGTAGGTAGTTTTATGTGCTGAAGTACTGTGGACAGTGGTAAAATGTCTGAAGTCTAAATTTGATTAGGTGACCTAGTATTGGTCTAACATAGCCTACTTGTAGGCTTTATTGCAACTGAGTGCTTGCCAGTATGCCCTAATTGCCATCCATCCGATAAAGAATGGATTAGCGGGTCTAAGGAAGAGTCTGTAAATAGATCTGTATCAAGTCATGAGGGATGCTTTACTGCCCATGTGTGATCTTCAGGGTTTGTTTCTGTGGTTAGAACCACAATTGGGTATAACAAATCTACTTGACTATGAAGACTGCATGGTGCTTAATCACATGGTGATACTGCTAGGGGCACAACCAGGAGCCCCTATAACATGTGCAGTTTTTGAGGTGAGGATTTTGGTTGCTTAATGATACCATTTCTTGGCTTTAGATTAATAACAAGTCTTAACTAATTTCAAAAGACTACACTGATGTAGGAATGCATATTCTAAATGATGAGGAAAAGTAAATCTTGCTGTACTGTAAAGAAAGTTGAGAAACTAAAGGGTGAGTATAGTAACTTAGTTATGGCTCAGGAATGTGTAAAAGGACTGCAACTGGATGCTTCATGTCAATCTCTAAAACAGCTAATGAAGTAAAGTGTCAGGTGGAGGTTGACACTATAAAACTGATGGCAGTCCTGCTCTGAAACATAGTCCTACTGATACACTGATTATATTTTGCCGGTAAATGATGCTGTTTGAAACTAGTTAAGTTTTATAACATGCCTTATAGCTTCATTTAGTCTTAGGACTGAGTGGAATTTAAGTATCAGTTCATCTGCTTTGCACAAAACTTTTGCTTTTATAGCCTAGTTCTGTGTTTTGTTAGATAACTGTCACTACGTGAGCAGGGGCATGGCAGCTAATTGACTTTTTAATCATAGAATGGTTTAGGTTAGAAGGGACCTTAAAGATAACTTGGTTCCAACCCCCCTGCCATGGGCAGGGACACCTTCTACTAGACCAGGTTGCTCAAAGCCTCATCCAGCCTGGCCTTGAACACTTCCAGGGATGGGGCATCCACAGCTTCTCTGGGCAACCTGTCCCAGTCCCTCACTACTCTCTCCAAGAAGAATTTTTTCCTGATATCTAATCTAAATCTCCCCACTTTCAGTTTATACTCATTACCCCTTGCCCTGTTGCTACAGGCCCTTGTAAAAAGCCACCCTCCATATTTCTTGTAGGCCCCCTTCAGGTACTGGAAGGTGCTGTAAGGTCTCCCTCGAACCTTCTCTTCTCAGGCTAAACAACCCCAATTCTCTCAGCCTGT